TGTGTGTGTGTGTGTGTGTGTGTGTGTGTGTGTGTGTGTGTGTGTGTGTGTTTATGTGTGTGTGTGTGTATATAGAGAGACAGATAAACAGACATAGAGAGAGTGAGACAGATAGAGAGACAGACAGACAGATAGACAGACAAATAGACAGACAATCAGTCAGATTGATATATACAGACAAAGAGACATACAGAGACTGCGGGGCTGGGGAAATAAGACTTTAAAGTGTCTAATTACAAGCTACAATTTCCTAAGCAATGTTTATCGAAGCATTGTTATTTTTCAGGTCCATCAATTGAGGTCAGGGCGAATCCCAAACCCCCATGAATTCTTTTCGCGATAATTGCAGTTGTTCAAGCAGCTCAACGGGTCATGCTGATCACAAAAGCCATCTCTCCATCTTTTGTGACGAGACGGGACGGGGTTCTCGCGAGGATTACCGAGATCTGACTCCAATTTTCCGGCGATCTCCATTCCTAATCAGTTCCACTTGTCGCTTGTGATAAATTTCGAGGAGAATTTTTGCTGACTCCCTGTGCTGTGTTGTGCTGAGATAATATGATTGTCCACATTTGCTCCCTTATTCGATTTGTCTTTTTGATCCCCAACTCGTTCGCTGTCTCTTGGGAGATTTGTGCTCTCATCTACGATACCACAGCAGTCTGTGCCTCTTCCCTCTAGTGCTGGGCGGCTAGGTTCGCGATTATTGAAAGCTAGGAATCGTAGGATTCAACTCCGAACCCAATTACTTACTTTCTAATGATATAATTTCTTCAGGTGGTTACCTGTTTGGCTCAAAACATCTTCAAGATTTGGGATGACCTTGATTTCGGAAGATTACAAACCATCAACTTTTATTTTTTTTAAATAAATTGATTTTAGAGATTGAAGTAGCTGATAACTGTTGGTTTACGTAAAAAGGAGTCGGAACTTTTCTTCTGCATTAATCAATCGTGGGAATCGGTTCTGGAATGGATTCTTCGCCCAGCTCTACTTCCCTCCCTTTTTCAGACCACATATTCTTTCTTGCAAGAAGAATGGGGAATCAAATTTCAAGTGGATGTAAAACTAGGGTAGGAGGAGTAAAAACGGTTAATCTCCTCTGGCAATGGTAAACGGTTGATATAATTTAGCTTTATGGTTCTAATTTTGTAATATTGGCGTTCCTTTGTTTTGTTTTTCCCATGTCACATATTTTAGAATTTTAGAATTTAGACATTTTTCTGAGAGATGAGTGTAATGGTTGTATTGTATTTGCAAATGTTATGCTCCTCACACGGGAATCAGGTTCACCGCTCCTTTTTGCAATAGCGAAGAGATTTACTGTTTCACACAGACATATAGATTATTATGCACAACCTTGACCTAAATGTGAAGCATCAATGTGCAATCAGGCGATCGGCAAAAATGAATTCAAAGAAACTGGTATTTTTCCGCCAGTTTGGCAAGTTTTTATTGAAGTTTTGTTTTGGCTCAGCAACGTGCATGTTCATTTATAACCTATTTAAGTTTGGATTTTACTGACCAATGTTTATTCAAGGCATACAAGGGGCACAATTGAAGTTTCCAAGGAATCTTAATCTGGGGAAATCACCCAACACATTTTGCGGCCATTTTCTCGATTATTTTACCTCAAAAACCAGGGGACCCTCATCTCCTTCAAAGGCAAATATCTCGACTTCTATTCAAGACAGATGGGTATTGTTTTCATCAAAAGCAAATTAAATAAACAAGTTTTAAGATCATAGCAACAGTTCCACATGCACAAAAATTGACGAGCTCCTGATTCTACCTTGTCAAGACCCAAAAATAGAATTAGAGATCTATCTAATGATCAAAACACGGTCACCATATTGAATATGAAACAATTGAATTATTTGAACTTGACTTTTATCATGATACTTTTCAAGCACAGTAGTGGAAAGCAAGCATACCCAGTGGGGTTTTGTTTTGTTTGTTTGTATTGTTGTTGTTGTTTTGTTTTTGGTTTTGTTTTATTTTGTTTTATTCTTTTTTTTTAGGAAGGACGTGCCTTGCGCACTTTGCCATATAAAAATGTATGTGTTTTGCCCTCATTTGGGTGTGAATGAGCGGCCCATGGTTAGCACGCTTCACAGAGATTTTTTTAAAATATGTTTTTAAAGTATGAGAGAGAGAGTAAGAGCGAGAGAGAGAGAGGGAGAGAGAGAGAGAGAAAGAGAGAGAGAGAGAGAGGGGGGGGAGAGGAGCGGCAGACAAGACAGTGTGCGATCTTGGTGTACAATTCTATAGCCTGCAATCATTCTTTTGCAATTCTATGTGGTCGTCTATCAGTCTGCGCACTCCAGGGTCATAATTTGGAAATTATTCCGATAACGACTTTGTAAGCATCAGTGGATTACCGTAAAAGGCGGATGACCGTCTGGTTGGAGAGACAGAAGCAGACAGGAAAAGAACCGTCTGTCTGTCAGTCTGTCTCTTTTTATCTTACATTGTTCTCTCCATTTTCGTATGTGTTTCTCGCCATCACTTTTAATCTCACTCAATCCCTTTCTCTCTATCTTTCTCTATCACCCCTCTCTCTCTCTCTTTCTTTCTCTCATTCCCTTCTCCTCCTTTCTGTCTCTTTGTCCTTCTCTATCTTTATCTCTTTCTCTCTCTCTATCGCTTTCTCTCTCTATCTCTTTCTCCTTCTCTGTCTCTGTCTCTGTCTCTCTCTCTCTCTCTCTCTCTCTCTCTCTCTCTCTCTCTCTGTCTCTTTCGTACTCTGTCTCTTTACCTCTCTTTATTTCTATGTCTGTCCCTGTATGTGTATGTGTGTGTGTGTGAACTTGTGTGTGCTTGTGTGTGTGTGTGTGTGTGTGTGTATTTAATAATGTGTGTATGTGTGTGTCTCTCTATATGTCTGCCTGGGAGTGTACATGTTTCTCTTTCCTAACTTTAAGTCAACTCTCGGTCTGCTTTTCTACTTTTCTGTCTCTCTGTCTCTCTATATTATATGTATGCCTGTCTGTCTGTCTGCCTTGCTGCCTCCGTGGGTATCTCTTTCACTCCTCCTTCCTCTAACTTAGCTTCAATTCTCTCTGTGTCTGTCTGTTTCTCTTTCCCTCCTCTACCTCAAGTTCCTCTCTGTCTCTTTGTTGCTTTTTCCCAACATCCATCTCACTCATGCCCAAGGCCAATATACGAAGACCATTCGACCTATTGGACAAGGCCATCCGAACCACAGCATAATGCAAAACTAACTACCTTGGACTCTTGTGTTATAACTCTGAAGCACACTCTTTTCAAGCAGTCAAACTCAGACCCACCCTGACATTCCGACTTTTCTTCCCTTTCATATTTTCCTCCTTTAACCCTCAAAGCTTTCTCGGAAACAAGCAAGACATAATTATTGCTTTGAATGTTGACAACACCAGGCCCAAATTTTCTCTCTTTTTTCCTCGGAAACGAACACGCAAATTGGCACAGTCGTAGGGGGGGGGGAGGGGGCGGCGCAAATGGATGTCAGGTCGATGAGAACTCAAGATGCCCATAGAATTTAGGTCTCCTCTACTCTTTGACTTTTTGAGTACGGAAAAGGTTTATTATTAGATCTAACAGATGCCTCAACACACGCAGTAGAGGTTGCATACATCAAAAGGTTGCCAAAGTAGGACGAAACAAGGTTAAAGTATCAACTTCAACTTACGAACTTACTTTTAAATATAAACAGGTTCGCAGTGCAGAGATGCACGGGATGATAAGAAAATTGAGCGAGGACTAACATAATAATAGATCACACGCACTCGTATACTGTCGTGCAAGCAAGTTAACATTATACAGAAGTATATGTACATTTTTATATGCACACACACACACACGCACACACACACACACACACACTCACACACACACACACATACACACACACATACACACACACATACACACACACACACACACACACAAACACACACACACACCACCTCACACTCATGTTTGTTCTCACGCAGGATTTGTGCTTCTTAAAGACTTTCTTTGAGGATAATAATATTATAAAACGTTCTCTATCCACATCCATGGAAATCGGTTATGAAAGTGTCTCCAATATTATTATTTCTTTGACAACGTTGAACTTCGATATATATGTATTGAATGCTCAGCATAATTTTATCAACATCATTTTCCAAGCGCCGAAGACGTTTTGTTTGTGTGGGTGGGCGGGG